CTTCTCCTGGGAGAAGACAGAAGAATAGATTTATTTAAAGAAAAAAATATATGTATATATAAATCAAGTAGCAATTATTATAATGTTTTTTTCCAGGTTATTTTGTAAAACTAATTTGGTTATCTTATATGAAATAGGAAAAGGGAAGAAATCTGTATACCTGTTGGATTTATGGGTTGGGTTTTTTTTCTTCTCCAGAATTTTGCATAAACAAAAGAGAAATATATCAGTCTTGTGGAATTCTTTCTTGCATGTTCTGTACAGATGAATAATTGTTTCTTTTTCTGCAGCTTCATTGGAACATGGTGGGGGTTTTAAAATTATTTTTTGCCAGAAATGAAAGGAAACTTCAGCATTTAAATTAATTTGAAAAATAAATGCACAACATGTCAATGAATTCATTCGATCTGAAAGTCAGGACCTCTGCAAGCCACATCCTTAAACAGAACATGTACTCATCCAAAGTGCACATAAGTAATTAAACTCAGCCTTAATTTTCTTAAATGTAATTGAATTTCATGGTGCGTGCAGTATTGTGGAGTTACCTACCAGGGGTTTCAATAAGCTTTGGCAGCATTAGAGGCAGCATGTTTATAGCATCACAGTGGGAAGATTAAAAAGTCACTGATTCCCTAAATGCTAAAACATATAACAAGCTTTTTTTGGTTTCTTTTGAACAGTCAATTCACATCTCTACACAAATCCTCTTGATGCAGCTGTGCTTTTTTTGTATCTTCTGTTTGCTAGAGGGAAAAAAGTGACAATTTTGCTTCTATGAAGTGGCATTCTGCTTGCAACTGGTCTCATCAATAGGTGAGAATTCTTTATGTACTTGAGTGTCCCTTCTCCTGGTGAGTCTCTGGATTTGTAACTATTCTTCAAGAGCCATTTAAAAGATGCACATCTTGAAGTGCCATTTAAAACTGCACATCTTGCATCTTAGATTGTATTAACGAACTCTTTTGGGTGAAAAGGCAAAGGAGTATTTCATCTGTTGCTTTTAAAGTAGTTTCATACCTGCAAGGCTTACAAATGCAGTGAAATAAATTACACATGCTTGGGAGTATGTTTACTTGTTGCAATGTATTAAAGATGCTCTACATGATTCTTTTTTAATTTTCTTTCCCCCCCAGTCCCACCATTGTAGATTGTGGTAGTCCTACTTCAGAAGTAAAATCTCATCTGCTTTTCAGATCTGTCTGGAAAAATGCCTTTCTGTCCTAGGTATGAGAAAAGAGGTTCACTAGCTTTTACTTCCACTGGAAACAGTAGTGATTTTTAGGCAACTTTTGCTGCAGTCTTGAGTTGATAACTGTGAATGTAACAAACATAACATGTAGGGGATGTTACCACGTTAGATGGTCAGAATAATTGCACAACCAAAACAAGTCTTGGTTCTTTGTGAATAATTGGGACGGTTGCAAGATAAGAGACTCCTGAATAATCCCCTTAGGCGGCTGGGCCTTGGGAGTGCAGGTATGCAAACTACAGAGATAAGGAGGCTGCAGAATAATCTGAAGATCCCACTGATCACCTAGAGACGCCAAACAAACGTGCGTGAGGGACATTACCATATACTAATGACTTCTCCGTAAAACTATGATAAGCATTTCTTGCATAAATACCTAGTAAGTGTGTCCTTTTGGTGCACACGTTTGGAGGAGAGATCCCCCGTGTGCCCAGTGCCGTAATAAAGAATACCTGCTTAATAGTCTTCCAACTATCGAGTCTTCAATTCCGGCTTTTCACGGCATCAAGTGCATGTGAAATATGCCAATATAGCTAATGTGCCCAGCCTCATGCCCAATTCATTAATATTTCTCATGCTGTTATTTATGTCCAGGTATAACAATATTACAGACCAGCTTAAGCTCTCAAGCTGGAAAACCATGCAAAAACTAGAAATATAAATGGCTAAATAAGTTATATCAATATTAGTGATATCTGAAATTGTAGATATTTCTTCTACCTGTGACAACTCAAAGCATTACTTTCTTCAGCTAGTTCTGACTCCTTCCCAGTGGTGGTTTACCTGAAACCAGAGCATGACATATATGCAGGAAAAAAACAAAGCACTGTCATCCATAAGAGGGCAATGTGTATTTGTTTTGAAGGCTGTTGTTGTGATATAACAAGTTTTCACATGTGGAGGGCCTTGGGTAAGTGTTTTTTGAGCCTAAAATCCTCATGTTCATCATCAACTAGGAATGAGGAAAACATTAAGAATGATAAAATAAAAGAAATTCTAGGCAGCTGAAGAAAATCCCCCTACACTGATATCTGTGAAAGACTGCTGGACCTTGGCTAAACACAACAGAGCGATCAT